TGAATTCCAAAAACGTCTCGTCAACTGTGGAAATGGCAATATATGGTATGGTCTCACCAACCACTGTGGCATCACCAGAAGTGTGATTTAGGGGAACTGGGAATAACTTAACTTGATAAAGTTGTGTTTCTCTATCTTTGGATGTTACTGGTAACATCATAGTGACATAAACAGTACTGTCATGTCTTACATAATGTACCTTGGTAGCTGTGTAATAGTATGGCAAATCCTTATGAGCCAGATGGAAATTTGGATATTTATCCTTCAATGCTCTCCTTATTTTTGATAGAGCACGCCTTAAATGTCGGAAAGGTATCAGTTCGGGTGATAGTACATTTTCTAACAACTTATATAACCCTGTGCTCAACCGATTAATCTTCCTTTCAACCATAGTAGCAAAATGTAATTCCTTTGCAATAAGTTGTATCCAATGTGCATACATGGCCTGAAACCATCGTATCTTACCATCCTCTACATTTATCAGTTCAGTCAGTTCATTATGATTTGCAATTATACCTTGCTTCAAACCGTCCATTCTATCGTTGGCCTTAGACATGTAAGAACCCATGTAATCTTGTGACATGTTAAAAGCTGCTTCTTCCGCTCTCATTCTATGTGATAAGATATTGATATGTTGTCGTATTATGTTCACGTCGCTGTCACGGGCGGTTCCGAATAAATTATGTGAGAATTCACCAATAAAAGGTAGCAATGCTCTCTTGGAGCGAGTCTGAGAACCAGGAATTGGACCTTGAGGAATAATGTTTTTGATCAAAGTGACCCCTTCAACCAAGTCGTTTAAAGTGTCGTCATGTATGCGATAAGTAAAATTCAATACAGCCCTCATGTTCTCATCACAGGATGAGCGATTTCTTAGAAGACTAGCATTCTTACAAATATCTCGAGGCAGAGTCGGATAGTTAGAGATCTTGGGCAATTCAATAGCAAACGTATGATACCACGTCTGCTCATACGTTAAGAGTCTCCCCATGTGACTGAAGGTAGTACCCCAGTGAAGACGATAGGTATCTGGAACGCATGACGCCAATGGTACCGAGTTCCACATCACCAGTAGTGTCATCATCACCTTAAGTGCGAAGCCGAAGGGTCCTGTAGAACACAAATATCCAAGTAAACTCTTAGATTTCTAGATCTGATCTCAGTCGTTGTTTTTATTCTATCCCTATGAAACCATAGCGTTCCTATTTGTAAAACAAATATCCAACAATCCCAATTGATCGTCATCAATGTACCATACAACACATTAACTTCCCATAAATAATGTCTACCAACATTAAGGAAACCGCAGAACACAGCGCTATGCTCATACAGTCTCAATTCATGTGTCAACAATATGTTGTACTTGTGGGTCAGTTGAATATTGATAGAGCTAAAGGCCTTGTCAAGTAACTACCTTAAATTCTAGCGTCAATTAAGTCCCGTTAATTAGCAGTCGTATTTTCTTTCTAACTCACATGGTTGAATCCTTGTCAACCGTTTTTGCGCAATACTGTATCATTTGTCTGAATCATTCACAACACATCTCTTCTCCTCAACAGGAGGTACACAATAGCCTTCTGACTAGGCAAAACTTTCTGAACATATTACCGGTATGATTGGCCAATCATCTACACACCACGACCGATTTATAGGTCTTCACCCAGGCTACGAGACAAATTGACCCTCTGTCCTTCGTCCCGAGTGAATTCATCATTAGTCTTTCGACTGTCCTCAATATACTCAGCAACTTGAGGTAGAAACATATCTACCTCACCACTTAGAGACTTGTCAGGCATCTCTAGACTTGATCTTTCAAGCTTTGAAACAGCATAGGCATTTCCTCATCTATGTGTTTATATTCAAATAACGTAGGCATGTCTCCTCTACGTCCCTGTCGACATTATTACTACGTGGGCATGTCTCCTCCACGGCGTGATAGCATAGGCATGTGACCTCTACGACTTACTATCATTTCGTATCTGCGTAGGCATGTTACCTCTACGACGTTGTTCATCATCTCATATCTGTGTAGGCATGTTACCTCTACAACTTTTATTTTATTTGACGCATCTCCCAATACAGTGGGACTATAAATTACTTATTGTATAAACTACTGTCCATTACTGTGTGTTAACAACCTAACACTCCATAATACGTGACTGAACACATGTCTGCTACTTCCATCATCTTCAAACCTATTGTCTACTTTTGTGTTTCCGCTTCGCCTTACCTTTCATTGTCCTCCTGATATGGAAGTCCTCCACAACCTCTGATGGGAGAAATTCTCTTAGAACCCATTCTCTTTTTGAGATTCCGGCATATCGGACCTTATACCATTTACCTCGGCGGTCCGACATACATTTCTCTAAGGCTTCGATCTGCCTGTCCTCCATTTCAGGACGAGTCTCCATCTCAGCAGTGGCGTCTTCGTTTGCCGCGCCTGCCGTTTCATGTGCATCAGTATCCCCTTCGTCTGATGTCAACTCATCAGCTGATGAAGGACATGCCTCCTGTTCTGACACAACAACCTCATTGTCAGGTATCATGTCAGGATCTAGTTCCTCATCGTCAGATAAGTCTAACGGTATTGCCAAAGGGCGAGAGTCTGGACTGATATACGGTTTCAGTCTGTTTGCATGAATGGGTGATCTGATCAGTTTGTCATCACCACATCTGCGTAACTGAAATGTGTGAGATGGATATTTCCATACCACATAAAATGGTCCTTGCCACGACTTGTAGAGTTTCCTACTAAACCCTATTGGCACTTTAGAACAGTAAAGCCATACCCTGTCTCCCACACGGTATGGAGGTTCAGCTGACTTCTTGTCAAACTGTTGTTTGTATGCTTCCTGAGCAATCTGTACATTCTCACGTGCAATCTCTCTGGTAATCTCGATATCACCAAGCAACTGCCTTAAGTCAGTACGTGTTTTTACTGAAAGACCTTGCGTGCGAGGCTCTAGTACATTGTCAATTGGTAACCTAGGTTCCCTGCCAAACACCATGAAGTATGGGGAGAAACCCGTCGAACTGACTGCAGGACTCATCCTGTAACCCGCTAGGATACTTGGTAACAGCTTCGGCCAGTTTTCCTGTGCCTTGTCACCATAGATCCTGAGTGATTGACCAATAACACTGTTCATGCGCTCAGCATGACTGTTTGTCTCCGGATGAAAGGGGCTGGTCTTCAGTCTACCTATGTCCAATAACCTGCATATTTCATTCAGCAGTTTGGAGGTAAACTCCATGCCTCTGTCAGTGAGTATACTCCGTGGGCAAGAATATCTGCTTATGATTTGATCATACAATACTCTCGCCACTTCAAAAGACTCCTTGCTTTTCAGTGGAAAGCATTCTGGCCATTTTGAAGCTGCATCAATGCAAAGCATGATGTATTTGAATCCGTCAGGGGATTCCTTCAATGGACCTACAAGGTCAACATGCCACCTCTGAAAAACATCTACCACCGGTAGAGGCTTCAAGGGTGCCGGTTTTGCGTGGATTTGTCTCTTTGCTGACTGACAATCCACACAAGAAGCAACCCAGGCACGTACTCTTTCATACATCCCATACCAGAAATATCTCTGTCTGATAAAGGCATAACATCTTTCCACACCCATGTGAGCTGCTAACAGGTCATCATGATAGGCATGTAGGATGGTGTCATACAATTGTTGAGGTACGGCCAGTTGTTTCACATAACGAAGTTCCTTAGGGCCTTTCCCCCTTGGAGCATAGAGATGATAGAGTATACCATCCTCCATCATAAAATCATCAGCCTCCAACAAGACGCGTCGTGCCTTCTCATCATCATCTGGCAACACATCTGATTCCAGATAATCAATGATGCGTTTGAACTTCTCATCAGCCAACTGTAGGCTGCGCAATTTGTCTACTGTCAGACCAGTTTTCTCCTGGACATGGGTTATCACAGACACCTGAGACACTCCATTGACATATGCATGTGAGTGTTTGTCATCATCAGACAGTGACAATATCCAATCCTCATCCTCTATATCATCATAATCATTAGCAGGTGAGGGTTCATATTCTCGCCGGCTCAAGGCATCTGCATTGCCATGCTTAGCACCTGGACGGTATATCACCTCATAGTCATACTGAGTAAGCATCAATGACCACCTTGCCAGTTTGCCTGTAGGGTCTTTGATGCTCTTCAGGTATCTCAGAGCGGCATGATCCGTAATAACCTGAAACTTATTCGGAGCCAGATAGAGGTGGAAGTGCTTGACACCTGTGACCAATGCCAAACATTCCTTCAATGTGATGTGGTATTGTCTTTGTGTTTTGTTCAGGCTCTTGCCACCATAGGCTACCACTCTTTCTCTACCTTCAGAGTCTTTCTGGCCTAGGACAAATCCTATGGCAAAAGAGCTACTGTCTGTGTACAGTATGAAGGGTTTGTTGAAGTCTGGAAAAACCAGAATAGGAGATGATACAAGTGCCTGTTTCAAGGTCTGAAATGCCTTGTCAGCATCCTCTGACCAAACAAATGGGACGTCCTTACCAAGTAATTTATTCAATGGAGCTACAATGTGGGCATAGTCCTTGACAAACTTTCTGTAGTACCCACACAACCCTAAGTAGCTTCTCAAGTCACCTACATTCTTAGGTCTGGGAAAAGACTTAACAGCCTCTATTTTACCTGGATCAGTCTTTATACCTTCTTTGGTAATGACATGTCCAAGGAATCCCACTTGTTTGACAGCAAATTTGCATTTAGAGGGCTTCAATTTCAAGTTAGCCTCCCTTAGCTTGTCAAACACTGCCTTCAGGTGTACCAAATGTTCGTCGAACGTCTTGCTATACACCAAAATGTCATCCAAGTACACTAACGTGAATTTGAACGACATAGACGAAAACAGGTTCGACATGAGAAATGCAAATGAGCTAGGTGCTGTATTCCTTGTATAGATGTTGATATTGTAGTAACAACAGTCATACTCCTTGAAATGAAGCTGTAACTGTGTCTCTTGTAGTGGCGTGTGGCAGGAGAGTGGATCTTGGTCCTGAGCAAGAACACATGGTGAGAGCATTCATCTTGATGACGAGAGTAATTACTGTCAGGACTTGACTGATTCCCAGAAATACTGATTAACATCACAGGCATGGGTGGTCCAGTAGTCCAAGGCACTAAATATACCGTGCAGAGTTGCGTCCCTTAGGGTTGCCAGGAACCTATGATCATTGGTTTGAATCCTGGATTCACTCTGATTATGTTTCTAGGTTTGTCCACACGTTTATAGCTTTCACTAAAGTGGTGAACATCTAAGACCTGCATCGGGGCGGCCGGGGAGGGGAGTCTAGTGGTTAAAGCATTCGCTCGTCACACCGAAGACCCAGGTTTGATTCCCGACATGTGTACAATGTGTGAAGCCCATCGTTGTGATAGTGCTGGAATATTGCTAAACGCGGCGTAATACCATATTCACTAAGACCTGCATCACTTTGGGTTTTCCTCCCACATTAAGGTGACATGCCGTAATATAACTGAAATACTGTTGAACGAGGTGTTAAACCCAACTGAGTGATTCTCCCTAAGCTCCAGTCTACGACTTTACCACTCACTGTGTACTTCCTCTGTGGTGTAGTGGATGGAGCACCTGCAAAGAGAGGAGAAGGTTCTGGCCACGTTTTACCAAAAGTGTTACCAGAGTGTTACCCTGCCTGGCACTCGGTATCAAAGGAATGAAACAAGGACTGGTAGGCTCAGAGTCAGTATGCTGTATCTGAGTGTACTTGAGATGGTACTTGTTGTTTCCTTGCCTAGCACTCGGTATTACAGAAATGAAACAAGGACTGGTGGGCTCAGAGTCAGTATGCTGTATCTGAGTGTACTTGAGATGGTACTTGTTGTTACCCTGCCTGGCAGTCGGCATTAAGGGGATGAAACAAGAACTAGTCAGATATTCAGTTTGCCAGTAACAAACTGACGTCTTATCACTATTGTTGTGTTGACGTTGTGTTAATTGACTCAGGGTATCACTAAGGGTTGATATTCCTAGAAAAGGTTTTGTTGCACGGTTACAATATTGTTCCTTTTCTTGCAGGTTGAAGAAACAATTGAAGACTTTGTTCAACAGTTGATTAACCTTCGGCAGGACAAATCAGGCAAAGCCAAACCCCACAAATGCACTCCTTCCTGTGACAAAAACTTTCCTCATTCCAAATGCACCAAGGACTCATCACCTCCTAACACAGCCAGCCTGGCACACAATCGCCTAGTGTCCATGTTGCAGCGCCACACCCAACGCAGCGCCACCCAGTCGGTAGCCCCACCCACTCCCGAGCTTCACACCAGCCAGGTGGTGATCACGCCCACTACGGCCCCCTCGTCCAACTCCACTCAAGACTTGAACCACACAGCTGCAGCTCCTGCTCCTCTCATTCTAAACCTAGCAAGTCTCCACGGCAGTAACGGTCTGATCTTTGTCAGCGGACATAACACATCACCCATCTCCATCATCAACAACTCTCTCACCACGCCCATTCACACCATCACCGCGGCAACCCTGGACACGCAGGGCCGTTTCCCTCAGCCTCAGATACTCCAAACCATTCCCCAAGTGCTTGCTGGTGTCAAGCAGGATGATAAATTGTCACAACATATTCACAATCTCCATGCGCTTGACTCGAACAGAAAGTCTCCCGTTCCGATGAATATTGCAAGTGATGCTTTGTTGGAGCTGGCAGGCACCCAGCAGGATTCGAAGGATCTTTTTCTCGATCAAATGTCAGCTACAATCTCAGATACTCAGCGAAATCTCCACAATACATTAGACTCGCTCATTCGCGGGGACTGCTCGCACACTGTGGGAACACTAGTGAAAGATAATTCGGGGACTGATAATTGTGATACTCTTGATGGCAGCTTTTCCTCATTTCCCAGTACTGATCTCAATCTTGATTATCTTCTCGACTTGCCCGAACTTTATGACTGTCCTGATTTGCCCGACACAAATGCAAGTCTCGGGACGTCAAGTGGCGGAATGCCGACTTCTGTCCCGCTCATCAATTGTGCTAACTGCCTCAGCAACCAACAAGCTCAACAATCACAGCAGCAACGGGCAGAGTCGCATCAATCTTCAACATCGACGTCTGCTACGTCAGACACGCAGACAGCAGACAACACTCACTCACAGACTGACACAGACAGCAGCTTCTCTCAGGGCGTCATCACAGACTTCTCCCCTGACTGGTGCTACACAGATGTGAGAGGCATAGAGTTTCACATTTCCACCCAAACCAAGCTGACTCTCTGTGATAATATTGAAATACTGTTCCAAGCGGTGTAAAAACCAAACTCACTCGCTGACAGATATGATAAATCCACTTCTGAGTAATCTTATCGGGATGTGTTCTAGTTTATGATTTGAGAGCAAGTACATTGAGGTAGCTGTGAGGTGTACAGTAAACGACGGTTATAACAAACTCAAAGGGGCCACTGATTTTAGTTCCTTATAACCGTGTTCGTTATAAACATATAAAATGTTGTTAAATTATTTATCATCAATAATCCATAATCAGCATGATTAGGGTTGACATGCCTGTGATAGTGTTGGCAGTGACTGATGAGATGTTATTGAGTGTTGTTGTATGTTGGAAGGGTGGCACAAAGATCCTGGTGACAGGCCCATGGTTCTCCACGTCCACGTCCTACTCTGTTGTGTTCAACAGTAAGACGGTGCCTGCTACACTTGTACAGGCAGGGGTTCTCCGGTGCTTCACTCCAGGTCAGTATCTCACACTTCTAAAGGGGGATTGTGGGCCCAGACTTGATTGTTTACAGGCAGCAGTCGTACAGCTGGAATATTGCTGAGTGTGGTGTTAAACCACACACACACACACACACACACACACACACACACACACACACACACACACACACACACACACACACACACACACACACACACACACATGTCTTGCAGCACATGACGCCGGCCTGGTGACGCTGCAGGTGGACAGACTCAGTGAATTGGTTGATTGAATGTTAATATACCCTGATTGCGTGGAACGTTGATGTCATATGATACTGATGTCTTGCAGCACATGACGCCGGCCTGGTGACGCTGCAGGTGGACAGACATTGAATTGGTTGTTTGCGTGTTAATATACCCTGATTGCGTGGAACGTTGATGTCATATGATGATGATGTCTTGCAGCACATGACGCCGGCCTGGTAACGCTGCAGGTGGCCAATGATGGGTTTGTCATCTCCAACAGTGAGGTGTTCGAGTACAAGGCTCGGGAGAAGCACAGCACGCAGTCAGCTCACAACGAATGGTTCTCAATGGATTGTGAGTAGTTGTACCTCGGTATATTTTGCAGTGTTGGAAATTAAGCTTGACAGTCAAGGGGACTTTTGATTTTCCTCATATTAGAAGTCAAAAGATTCAAGTACCAGAGGCCCCCCTTTTGTTTTGAACACTGATTTTGGAACACGGGTGGTTCATTTGTCGAAGGTGTCACAGTTCACTTTGCAATGTGGCAATAAAGGGCTGCTTTAAAGCGTTTGCTCAGTAATCAGAAGCCCAAGGTCTGTTCCCCAGCTTGGTACAATGTGTCCAACCCATTGCTGATATCGCCCTTATATTGCTGGAATAGTGCCAGTTGTGGTGTAAACTCCAACTAACTCACTCAGTTTGCAGAGTTGTGTCCCCTCAGCTGATTCAAGGTTCCAGTCCTAGATTCAGCCAAATTATTCTGCCTGTGCTCATGGTGTTCCCCTAATGCCTTGTGTCTGTGACCTGCCTCACTTTGGGCTTTGAGTGAGTGAGTGAGTTGGGTTTGACACCGCTTCCAGCAATATTCCGTCGGGGGACACCAGAAATTGGCTTCATGTGGGGAATCAAACCTGGGTGTGACAAGCAACACTTTAACCACTAGGCTACCCCAGCGCCCCCTGGCATCTTTGAAGTAACTGAATACCAGTTACTAGAAAGTGGCATTAAACCCAACCCACTCGCTGTTTGTGTGCCATTATGATACTGCTGCAACATCGCGTATTGCCTCACAATCTCGGTACATGTGTAGAAGTGTGTAAATGTTTGCTATGTTCTTGTTTCAGCGACGGAGATGAAACTGCTGCTGGTGGAGAGGTTGGAACAACTGGAGAAGAGGCTCATGCCAGCTGACAAGAACACAACTTTCCTTGACAAGCAGGTGAGCTTTCCTTGACAAACAGGTGAGCTTTCCTTGACAAACAGGTGAGCTTTCTTTGACAAGCCAGTGAGTTTTCCTTGACAAACAGGTGAGCTTTTCTTGAGAAACAGGTGAGCTTTTCTTGACAAGCAGGTGAGCTTTCCTTGACAAACAGGTGAGCTTTCCTTGACAAACAGGTGAGCTTTCCTTGAGAAACAGGTGAGCTTTCTTTGAGAAACAGGTGAGCTTTTCTTGACAAGCAGGTGAGCTTTCCTTGACAAACAGGTGAGCTTTCCTTGAGAAACAGGTGAGCTTTTCTTGACAAGCAGGTGAGCTTTCCTTGACAAACCCTGTCTATGACACTGCCAACTGTAAATCATCAGTGTGCCAGGTATTTGGCCTTCCACTCTTTGAAAGAGATGGCTTAAGCATGATAGATGAGAGTGCATGCAAGTATCATGGTATGTATCGGATAATGAGCAAAGTATCATGGTATGTATCAGATCGTGAGCAAAAAATCATGGTATGTATTGGATCGTGAGCAAAGTATCATGGTATGTATGGGATCGAGAGCAAAGTATCGTGGTATGTATTGGATCGCGAGCAAAGTATCGTGGTATGTATCAGATCGTGAGCAAAGTATCATGGTATGTATTGGATCGTGAGCAAAGTATCGTGGTATGTATCGGGTCGTGAGCAAAGTATCATGGTATGTATCAGATCGTGAGCAAAGTATCGTGGTATGTATTGGATCGTGAGCAAAGTATCATGGTATGTATTGGATCGTGAGCAAAGTATCGTGGTATGTATCGGATCGTGAGCAAAGTATCATGGTATGTATCAGATCGTAAGCAAGGTATTGTGGTATATATCGGATCGTGAGCAAAGTATCATGGTATGTATCGAATCGTGAGCAAGGTATTGTGGTATATATTGGATCGTGAGCAGAGTATCATGGTATGTATCGGATCGTGAGCAAGGTATTGTGGTATATATCGGATCGTGAGCAAAGTATCATGGTATGTCTCGGATCGTGAGCAAGGTATTGTGGTATATATCGGATCGTGAGCAAAGTATCATGGTATGTATCGGATCGTGAGCAAGGTATTGTGGTATATATCGGATCGTGAGCAAAGTATCGTGGTATGTATCGGATCGTGAGCAAGGTATTGTGGTATATATCGGATCGTGAGCAAAGTATCGTTGTATGTATCGGATCATGAGCAAGGTATTGTGGTATATATCGGATCGTGAGCAAAGTATCGTTGTATGTATCGGATCGTGAGCAAGGTGTTGTGGCATATATCGGATCGTGAGCAAATAAAAGTATCGTGGTATGTATCGGATCGAGAGCAAAGTATCGTGGTATATATCGGATCGTGAGCAAGGTATTGTGGTATATATCGGATCGTGAGCAAAGTATCGTGGTATGTATCGGATCGTGAGCAAAGTATCGTGGTATGTATCGGATCGAGAGCAAAGTATTGTTGTATGTATCGGATCGTGAGCAAGGTATCATGGTATATATTCGATCGTGAGCAAGGTATCATGGTATATATCGGATCGAGAGCAAAGTATCATGGTATGCATTTGATCACACAGTTGTGTATCATCCCAGCCCTACAACAGTGTACCCTGAACTTAATCGAGTTTGCTGGGACTGACAATTGTCTCGAGCCTTGGCTCCCTTTAAGATGGGAACAAGTTCAATCCTTTCTTCACACAGCTATTTAACAGTATCAGAATAAATGTAGATACAAGTTTGAAACGAGAATCTGTCCCGGAGTGAGACGAGTGTTGTGACTTTGTTTGTTGTGCACTATTCCAGCATGCCCTGAATGTTGACCATGAGAACACCGAGTGTCGTCTTGTGCAGTATGTGGAGCACCTGGCTGGTCGACCCTGGCAGAAACTGGAGACTTACCCCAAGGCTGGCCATGGTGGACTGACTTTACTTCATCTTGCGGCGGCCCTTGGCTACGCCAAACTCATCAGCTCACTTGTTAGGTGGAGGTGGGTAGCACCAGTACAGGAATCAGTGTTGGAAATTAATGGAAGCCCTGGTTTCCTTGAGGTTTGCTTCCATAGTGTTTGAATCCTGGCTCTTCTCCTTAAAGCTTTAACTTGGCAGTAGTTATGACTGGGACCCCTTTTCTTCCATGCTTAATTTCCAACAGGGAGATTGAATAGTTGAATGAAAATAACAAACATGTATTTAGAATTGGTTCTTTGAAAGTCCCCAGAACATAATTCCGCAAATAATGGGTGCCTCGTACCCTTCCTTGTTGTAAGAGACGACTTAAATGAGGGTCTGGTAGTTACAGCGTGTGAGCTGACTGATTGTGTTCTATCATAACCCGATGCTGTGGGTTGTTGGTTGTGCTGCTGGCCTCTGGTAAGCTGGGCCAATACACGAATATTCCCAGGCTGCCATGATATAGTGAGAACATTACTGTTTTATGTGTCCTTGGTTCTGTGATGTTTGATGCTGCTGTGAACAATGTCCAGCTATGTCGTTGTTGCCTGCGACTGATGAAGTCTGGGCCAGACAAACTGGTGGTTGATATTAGGAGCAACACCCAACGTCTTTGGTGAATAACGACATGCAATCAACCAGGTCACTGAGCCTGAACACCCAAAGAAAGTTGGGGAGCCTCTTAGGAGCCTCTGCTGCTGTTGCTGCTGCTGCTGCCACTGCCGCTGATGATGATGATGATGTGTTTGGGACCTATTCTTACCCAGGGCCCCACAAGGATTGATTGATTGATTGATTGATTGATTGATTGATTGATTGCAGAGTGATAATACTGTTTTCTCTTTCTTTGACAGATCTGACATCTCTAATTTAGTTTTAGAATATGAAGTTGATGCTCACAGTGTGGACAACCATGCCTGTACACCATTGGTGAGAAGCTAATTACTGCAGCATTATCTTGATCATAGGCAGGAATTGATCTAGACCTGCTCACAATGAACAAAGAAGCTGATTACTGCAGCATTATCTTGATCATTGATCTAGACCTGCTCACAGGTCGATATTTGGCACCAAGTTGGCGGCAACTGTAAACATTCCCGAATGAGAATACAAACTTTCCCAGTTCATGTTGATTTAGTTATAGGTCGTGGTTAGAGTGTTCGCTCGTCAACCCGAAGGCCCTGATTCGATTCCTCACATGGGTACAATGTTAGAAGCCCATTTCTGGTGTCCCCCGCCGTGATATTGCTGAAATATTGCTAAAAGCGGCTTAAAGCCATACTCACTCACTGTTCTAAAGATACAAGTGCACCTACGATTACTTACGATTGTGAAAGGCTACCAGATGTGGGAGTTGTTTGGCAAGACAATCTCACATAGCTTAGTTTGTTCCTGATGTCAGTGTTGAATGCTTTGGGCCTCAGCTTGTCTACTAAAGTTTGATGGTACTTTGCAAGTTGTAATCAGGGTATTGATACATGGCTGACCATATAGATATACTCACTGATAGTTTGTTGAAATGAATGACGGGAGGGTGGAATGTTTCAGTTGTCTTCTGTAATCAGTGTAGGAATCCTACAGTCTTTAAACTTTAACATGATGGCTTTGCCACCAACAATCTTAGCTCTGCAACTGTCGTAAGCCTGTATGGGAGGTACGATCACCTGAGTGCTAAGATCGCTTTGTGGAACGGGACCTAAACCACTTTACTTTCTTGCTTACCTTCACACTGGTCTGTTTCAGATGTGGGCATGTGCAAGAGGAAATATTGATGCTTCACTGACGCTGTATCATATCAACACGGGGCCACTCAGCATCTGTAACAAGGATGGACGTCTCCCGCTCACCGTTGCCCGAAGCAAGGGACATCACAACCTTGCCAATCAAATCGAGCAGTTGGAGCAAGCTCGTCTGCAAGCCCCGCCCCCTTTCCCCCCATGCACATCCACAGCATCATTTGCTGGCGCAACTTCTTCTTTCACAACCTCGGACTCTATCACTGCGTGTGAACTGTCACCAACTCCTTGCCATATATTCCCCAGTTCTCACAAAAACATTTGTGATGAGAAACAGGAAAACCTTCACATCGACATACCTCCTCCCCCTCCCTACCCAGGGGATTCCAAGCTCGTCCGGCGACTCAGTGAACAAGTCATTGGCACCTGTCATCGCCAACTTAGCAAACGCTATTCGGTGGATATATTGCCGAGTGGGGCAACAAACGACCAGACCTCGCCCCAACATGACGCTTTTCAGAAGCCAATTCGGGAGGCCAATTCTGAGCCACATCTGTCATTGGTTGGTGATCATCCAATCAGTGCAGTGACGGACTCTGCCTTGCTACCAGTTGCTCAACGTGATCTGGCATCGCCAGATATTCTCATGCAGACCGAGTCTTTGCTCAACACCATAGCGACGGAGTCTGGGAAGGAGACGGATGGTCTCCTCATGCAGATGGACACAGGTCAGTTGAATAGGAGTATGACAGTGTTGCAATGTTGCAGATATTGATCAGCTTGAAAATTAACCAGGGATCATGATTTTGCCAGTTTTTGTTTTTCTGTTTGTTGTTTAATGCCTCACTCAGCAATATACCAGCCGTATGGCGGTGGTCTGTAAGTAATCATTGGACCAGACACACCAGTGATTGACATAATGAACTTCAATCAATGCAGTTGGGATATGAGGACGTGCATCAACCAAGTCAGCAAGTCTGATTCTGTCGGTCGCTTCTGTCCACAAACATTGGTTGCTGAAGACCATTTCTAACCCGGATCTTATGGGGGTAACAGGATTTAAAAGCTTGATAATGATCGAATTTGTGTGTCATTTCAACAATACCTTAAACAAGGCCTCAAAAAGGTCTTGGAAGTTTGTATTGGTGATTTTCAATGATACATGTCATGGTTATAGTATAAATATATCTACTATTATTTCAGCAAGAGCTGATGAAACATGTTGTACATGGAAGAGACCCATCAGCCTGTTTCTCTGCATGTCCTTCATTGATTCCTCATGTTGTCAATCACTGGATTGTCTGGTCCAGACTCGATTATTTACAGACTCTCGTCATAACGCTGGAATATTGCTGAGTGCAGCGTTAAACAACAAACCAACCAACCAACCTCATTGATTCTTAACATTTCTTGTGGATGAATGTTTCATTTGCCATGTTTGAATTTGCAATTTGATCTGCTCTTTAGTCGTGTAATCAGTGTTGAGTGTCTGTAGGAGTAATGTCTATAATGCAAGCTCCGTACCTCTGTAGATGAGGTATCATCGGTGCGGAGTGACAGCCCTTTCATTGATGTAGAAAAGATCTCATCTGACGAGGAGGCGGAACACAAGGCAGCCGTTGCTGCTGCTGCTGCTGCCGCCGCCGCTGCTGTAGCATCTGGTGAAGGTTAGACACCATAACACACACATAAACACCATGCTTTAATGAGTTGCTTTTGAATCTAAAAATGTTACGCATTAAAGGAAGACTGTATTGTTTAAGCTTAACTCTGTTGTGGGTTTGAATCCCGGTTTGCCCTATTATGTTTCTGGGTTTGTCAGCACCTTAACAATGCTCCTGGGTTTCACCGACGTGGTCAACATCTATGACCTTTGTCACCTGGGGCTCCCTCCCACATCAAGCTGACACTCCCTGATATGACTGAAATGCTGTCAAAGCAGTGTTAAACTCACTCAGTATTAGCTGAACTAGTTTGAGATGTGATAATTAGAAGATAAACATCAATTGTTTTCATATTTGTAGGTGGTGTTGAGTATAGGCTAAAGCCTTTGTTTCCAAATGTAAAAACTTCTGGCTAAAAACACACAAATACATATACCTGGAGTATTGCTGAGTGTGGCGTTATACAAATTCTGTACCAAATTGTTCCAGGTGGGGATCATGAAGGCAAGAACCAAATGGTAACCCTCGCCAACCAGATCATCGCAGCCATGCCGGAGCGTATCAAGCTGTCTCCTGCCAAGGAGGAAGAGTGTGGAGTGAGCAGTCGAGCTCGGAGTGAGTCCTACAGCTCGGCCCCGTCTCAAGGCTCACCTCCCACCTCATCCTTCGGGGATGATTCTGGAATCTCAACACCCATGACAGATAGTCTGGCCTTTGATGAGTACAGGTATACACTTTTGTAGGCCAGATACATCATGATACATGGACTGGATATGACTTGAATGATGACAAAGCAACCTAAAACTCCCATCACTGTATTCCCGACTTTTGTATTGCAGGTACACAGACCTGGGCACCCCTGCCTCGTCCCTGAGCCCGGACTCTACCTGTCTGCCCAGCCCCTACAGCCCCTACAGTTCCTACAGTTTCACTCTGGACTCCCCGCCCCCCACCACTGCTGACTTCACCGAGTACTTCAACGCGCCAGCCACGTACATGGAGAAGGACTTTTCCCAACTCACACTCTCAGGTAGGGTCCACACTTCCCTATACATGGTTGCCAACCCCTGTGGAGATTCCAGGACAGAGAAGGTCCACAGCCTCCCATGTTTGTCGTTCTGACCCGTGAAGATCCAGGGTAGAATAGGTCTTCAGCAACCCATGCTTGCTGTGAAAGGCGACTATGCTTGTCGTAAGAGGCGACTAACGTGATCAGGTGGTCAGACTCGCTGACTTGGTTGATGCATGTCATCGATCCCAATTGCGTGGATCGATGTTCATGTCAATCACTGGATTGTCTGGTCCAGACATGATTATTTACAGACCGCAGTCTTCTGGCTGGAATATTGCTGAGTGCAGTGTTAAACAACATGAAACTGAAACTGTTTGTCTTTCTGTAGAGATTCCAGGATAGAGTAGTTCCATATTATGATTGGGTGGTTACGATGTACCCTGAATATATAATGATCCTATTATCAACCACTGACTTAGTCATTCAGACTTGGTTGTCAAGAGATCGCACTGATAAGGCTGGAATTATTTAACAATAATCTTCTTCTACCACTTCATAAGTATCCTTCTCTCTATTCAGATCAGGAACAGAGAAAGCTGTACGAGGCTGCCAAGGTGATCCAGAATGCGTATCGGCTGTATCGGGATAAACAACAACTGCAGCAGCAGCGACAGAAGGAGATAGAAGCCGCCATCTTGATCCAGAGCTACTATCGGCGATACAAACAGGTACTGGCGGACTCCTGGCACAAAGTATTGCTCTGCCGTGAACCTTCGGTGAATTTGTCAGTTCTAGTTATCACTCCTGTATCAGAGTATATTGTTAGAAAATTATCTGACACTCTCTCATGTTGGTAAGGACTGATGACATGGTCTAGTGGATCGAGCATCTGCCCGGAGACTGCCTATGTGGTCTAGTGGATCGAGCATCTGCCCGGAGACTGCCTATGTGGTCTAGTGGATAGAGCATCTGCCCGGACACTGCCTACGTGGTCTATAGGATAGAGCATCTGCCCGGAGACTGCCTGAGTGGTCTAGTGGATAGAGCATCTGCCCGGAGACTGCCTACGTGGTCTATAGGATAGAGCATCTGCCCGGAGACCGCCTACGTGGTTTGATTTTTTCTGCCATGTTACTTTCAGTGATACAACTAAAATAGTGCACAAAGCAGCGTTAAACCCAACTCACTCACTCACTCTGTATATTTCAGTATGCATACTTCAAGAAGATGACCCAGGCAGCAGTGTTGATCCAGAATCAGTTCCGGAGTTACTACGCACAGAAACGTCTCAAGAAGAACCGAGACCCTGCGGCTGGCCTGCAGCGACAAGGACCGGAGAGACTGAAGAAGGGCCGCAACCAGTCCGTGATCATCCAGCAGAGATACAGGTGTGTCTTCACCTCCAGTATGGTGGCCCAGTGGTCTAAGGTCCTGTGAAAAGTTGTGTCCCTTGGCATGCCAGGATCTTATTATTATTATTATTATTATTATTATTATTACTACTACTACCATGCTGCTGTGCCTTGTTTCAGGTCTCACTATCAGAGGAAGACGGAGAAGGAGGGTCGACAGTTGTCGGCTGATGCAGCAGATAGGTAGGTTGTTTACGTCAGCCCATGCCGGGCATGGGAATGGAGTGCACCCTTTACTGACATAACATACCCTTGGAACCTAATGTATTCCCCGTAATGAGCTCCGTGGTGCTTAGAAAATGGACAAAGGTGATGGGTGCTTAGTAAGACAACACAAAAGGTTACTGAGATCGAGCAGTAGTTCAAATGTTGATGAAACTAAATCTTTGTCAATAATAATCCCATTGTAATTATAAAGCCCTTCTGAGCTGCTGTTGTCTGTTGGGTATCATGTCATATACACCAGAAAATAGGCACTGTCACTTTTGGTCTTCTTGGGGTGCTTGTAAAGCTTACTAACAGATAGGTGTAGAAGTTGGTCGGGGGCTTACTATGGTGAATACGGTAGTTGGAACCTTACTTTAGTAGGAAGTACCCCAGGCTAACAAAATAAACACAATTGGTTCTCATGGCAACTGAATGTCGACTTGATCAGAGCCAAACATAAATAAGTTGAACTGATTGAAGTTCTACAGGACACAACTGCTTGCCGTAATGTGCTACATTGATTTGCACTGTTGTACATTGTAATATGATCTTGTGTAGGGACATCTTTAAATGTGAAATCTGGTGTCAAAAGGTTTATAACCAATTGAAATCTGAACCTAAAGTCCTGTTTGAATTTAACCATGTTCTACAATGTATCTGTTTTCTTCACTTCATGCTAACAGAGATATATGGCAGCTTGTGCATGCAATTAGGGTAGGTAACTGGTGTGCCAAGCTGTCATTCATTGATGCCTGCTATTGATGGGTGTGCATTTCACCGTCGTCACAGTTTGATGTGGTTTTGTGAACTGTATTGTGCTCTGTAATTTCCTGCCTTTATTTTCGGTGCATACTGTGTCATAAATATTGTCTTAGACATGGTAGTCTGTTGCACAGCTAAAACCTTTCCTGAGCATTTCAACATAATGTACCCAAGAATGTTTGCTAGGACCAGTATGTTGTAAGTTTTCTCTGTTTGATGTGTGAAATATAACCAAGTCGGACATTTCTTTCAGATTTTATTCCTTCAAACCATGGGTCAGTGGTCAAAATAAAATTAAAAGAAAGTTCGAATTAAAGCCATAATTAGACGGAGGAATCAGGTAACTCTTAAACCTTTTGGCTCCAGTTCTTAATCCTACTTGCTCAAGCTGTTGGTTGGGACGAAGGGTATGAAAATACAAATAAATGCCTTCAGACATACGTTTTGTAATCAGTGTTTGGAGAAAGTGACATCAAGGCCTCGTAGAATTCACACATGATTGACCTGTCTTCCAGGTCTATTCCAAACATTCAACACTGAAGTCCTTAAGAACCTGTGTCAGGAAATGTAGAATAGTATGTTTTGGCCTTTTTAGAAAATCCATCAATCAGCATTTGAACCCTTGAACAATAATTGTAATGATTGTTTGTTCTTTGTAGTGGTCTGTTCAGTTAAGGGAGTGCACCTTCTAGATTCTTAACAGTCTCACCTGCACTTGTGAGCCTTGACACGTTACCAGAGATGCTGTGATCCACTGAATGAGTGTCCTGTGTTAGTGATACAGTCTTGTACATTAACAGTCTCACCTGCACTTGTGAGCCTAGACACGTTACCAGAGATGCTGTGATACACTGAATGAGTGTCCTGTGTTAGTGATACAGTCTTGTACATTAACAGTCTCACCTGCACTTGTGAGCCTAGACACGTTACCAGAGATGCTGTGATCCACTGAATGAGTGTCCTGTGTTAGTGATACAGTCTTGTACATTAACAGTCTCACCTGCACTTGTGGGCCTAGACACGTTACCAGAGATGCTGTGATCCACTGAATGAGTGTCCTGTGTTAGTGATACAGTCTTGTACATTAACAGTCTCACCTGCACTTGTGAGCCTTGACACGTTACCAGAGATACCATCCATTATGATTTCGATGGATTCTTTAGGATGTTTTTGACCAAATTCTGCCAATACTCCAAGTGACATGTATTACAAATTTTGTAAGACAAAACAACCAGTGATTTAGCCTGATTGTTGATCTCACTGCATTGTCACATATACAACCATGTTATAATCACACATAATCACCAGTTTTAACTTTGGTTTGGGTGATAAATGCAATACAAAAGATGTTGAAATCATCAAAGCGTAACAGTTTGTTTCACACCCCAGTTGTCCCAGGTACTCCGAATTTCTTCAATTTCTGGGTGGCATCTCTGCATTTGATTTTGTTTAGAACTAAATTGTATGCTGTGACTGACTCTAGAATGTGATTTCTGCTTGTTGTCTTGTGATTCTGGCATGCTGTGATTGGTGCTTTCAGAGATCCAACCATTGTGTCAATGCTAATGAGATGAAGGTACATCCTGCATATATAACATGTAGCCTGGCTTGTTTCATGCCTTTCTCCTAGTGTAGATCTCTGTAGCCTTCTACTAATATTACATCCTCGTGAAGATCTGGGTAGAGAATAGGTCTTTAGCAATCTATGCTTGTTGTAAGAGTCGAATAACGGGATCGGGTGGTCAGACTCGCTGACTTGGTTGATGCATGTCATCGGATCCCAATTGTGTGATCTCCTTCTCCTTCTACTAACAGTACCCCAGTAACTTGTAAAGATTCCGGGTTAGAATAGGGCCCCAGCAACCGATGCTGGTCGTCAGAGTGAATTTAGTGGATGGGAGGACAAGCTCGATGATTTGGCTTGTGTGTTGTAATCCCAGATTTACCCATGATAATCAGATTATGATCCTTGGGTTGTCAGTACCATATCCTTGATTCCTACATTCACTAAAGGGCTTCCGTTTATGACCTGTGTCACTTTCGGCCTTCTTCCAACGTTAAGCTGATGCACCATCATGATGATGATGATGATGTGACTAAAAAACTGCTGAAGTCAGCTTTGGGCCTCAGTTCACTCACTCACTCACTATACTTACTTAGTGTTGAGGCCCCAGTCGTTAAAGGCGCCGCAGTTTGCTGTGCGGTCGTAGTGCTGAGATGACTATGTTGAATGTAGCCCTGGGATAGGTTACACAAACAAATCTTAGCGCTAAGATGATTGTAACTCCCATGCTTTAACATCAGCTTACGACAGTTGTAGCACTATGATCGCTTGGTGGAATGTGGGCCTGTATGCTAAACCCACGATGCTGTGTTTCCTGTTCTCTGTGTCATGTATTTTTTCACAAGTGTGACGTTAGTTGTCTGCACCACCTTCGCTTATACAATCTACTCTACATACGTCAGCTAAATGTCATATTGCTTATAGTGGATTCTTTTGCTTAGTCACATCAACTTTGCCCATATGCTTTGTTCCCCATCTTTGTGTAAGTTGCCTCTTTCCATCTCTGTCATAAGAGGCAGAGACTGCCTCCCTGGTCTAATGGTAGAGTGTCTGCCCGGAGAGCGGAAGGTCGTGGGTTCGATCCCCGGTTGTGTCATACCAAAATACATTAAAAGATTAAAAGTACTTGTTGTTACCCTGCCTTGCGCTTGGCATTAAGGGACAAGGACTGGTCAGCTTGGAGTCAGTATTCTGTGTCTGAGTGGGGTAATATTGTTAAACTGTAGCATGGTATCTCAGTGGGCTAGCACTATGAAATCAGCATTAGTCCAGACTAGTACAAGCAGCCACACACACACACACACACACACACACACACACACACACACACACACACACACGTGCATGCACATTGTTACATAAGTGCAATAATCTTTGATGTGACATTAAACCCCATTTCACCTCCCATAAGAGGCAGTGACTATAGGAATCAGTTTCTTACAATCGTCATACAGCGACCTTAGTAATGTCACTTAGTCTGTGGGAGTTGGGATCACCTTAGCGTTAAGATCACTTAAGATACATCTATGGCAAGTTTATGTTAAATGACGGGAGTTATGATCACCTTAGTGCTGAAATCACTTTGTTGAATGGGCTTCTGATTGGCTTGACATGCAATTGTTATTTGGGTATTCATTTTGAGTCTTCATGTCTTCAACCACTGGGGTATCTGCTCCAGCCTTGGACCTCTTCCACAAGGCAGTCATAACACCATGGTGGTCGTAAGTCTGTGTTAGAGTATTGGAGTTGGGATAGTCTTAGTGCTAAGATTGCAGTCATAACACCATGGTGGTCGTAAGTCTGTGTTAGAGTATTGGAGTTGGGATAGTCTTAGTGCTAAGATTGCAGTCATAACACCATGGTGGTCGTAAGTCTGTGTTAGAGTATGGGAGTATGGATAGTCTTAGTGCTAAGATTGCAGTCATAACACCATGGTGGTCGTAAGTCTGTGTTAGAGTATGGGAGTATGGATAGTCTTAGTGCTAAGATTGCAGTCATAACACCATGGTGGTCGTAAGTCTGTGTTAGAGTATTGGAGTTGTGATAGTCTTAGTGCTAAGATTGCAGTCATAACACCATGGTGGTCGTAAGTCTGTGTTAGAGTATGGGAGTTGGGATAGTCTTAGTGCTAAGATTGCAGTCATAACACCATGGTGGTCGTAAGTCTGTGTTAGAGTATGGGAGTTGTGATAGTCCTAGTGCTAAGATTGCAGTCATAACACCATGGTGGTCGTAAGTCTGTGTTAGAGTATGGGAGTTGGGATAGTCTTAGTGCTAAGATTGCAGTCATAACACCATGGTGGTCGTAAGTCTGTGTTAGAGTATTGGAGTTGTGATAGTCTTAGTGCTAAGATTGCAGTCATAACACCATGGTGGTCGTAAGTCTGTGTTAGAGTATGGGAGTTGGGATAGTCTTAGTGCTAAGATTGGAGTCATAACACCATGGTGGTCGTAAGTCTGTGTTAGAGTATGGGAGTTGTGATAGTCCTAGTGCTAAGATTGCGTCGTGGTACAAGGCAGTGTGGAGTAAAACAACATTCACTCAGTCTCCTGATATGAATTTATTAGAAAATGTTGGAAGAGACCTCAGTTATTGTGTTTTGAAAAACGTAATTCATAAATAAAATTCACTTATCTCTTTGTCATAATATTTTTTTATTTATTGTTTAACAGTTATTGTGATTATTTTGTAATACAAATTTTAGTTCAAGACCCTTCTAGGTTCAACTGGTCAGTATCAAGTTCATTTATTAACCACTGATCTCCGACCTCTATTGCAGCTCCCCACCCCCCGAGCAAAGCAGCACATCCAGAGACGGAACCCCACCAGTCGATGCTGAGCCAGATATCCCCTACCCAGAAGAAGAGGATGGGTGAGCCACCGTCAGGGACAGACACGCCCACCCACTGCTGGATCTGTGACTGGGCATGGCTGTTCATCTTGGTGACACCCTCGGGAGGACAACCTCTGTCTGAACCACAATGCCCATGTCACGCTGTGTTCAACTGCTTAGGTAGCAATGGCCTCCGGAGGACTTGTGAAGGAACAAGCTGTCGTTGTTGTCAGGTTGAGCCGTGTCGTTCTTTGACATGCCTCGTCAGTATGGGTTGGGACGTGATGTAAAAGGGTGTGTAGCCTATGTATGTGTGACACCGGCGTTGTGAACAAGCTGTGGAAATAGGCTTGCTGTGAAATACCCACAGTTTCAACCCTTTGCTGTTTCAAGTTTGTCATGGCTCGTCGTGGACTTTCAGGTTTGATTCGTGACAAATAGCTGCCAACTGTCCCATTTTTTTAATGTTTTTGTTACGAATTTGCAACTTTTGTCCTTAATTCCTGTTAAGAATATGCCAATCTACATAAAAATATCACAAGGTTTCAATTTTCATAGACACTGATAAAGAGAGGGTCATTATTTAGCCTTACACCGTCAGCTATAAATGCTTCATGTTTATCGACTGGTATATCATCATATTTATAGGGTTGCATTTGTTCAATTGAGACACTCCACGGTATTATTGAAAGTTGCTTAAGTCGAGATAGAAACAAACTTTAAAATTATGAACTGAGTTTCGGAATCACATGGCTGTATTGTATTGTAGTCGATTCATATCGTCTGGCTTTGTTGTCAGTTAAAGAAGATTGTTGGAAAATACTAAACTGGGAAAATTGGCAGCTATGGTGACAGATCCTGCCATTTAAGTTCATGTTTGTCAGCCAATGTATCAGTGACAAGCATGAGCCACATTGATATGAACAGGTCTTCAATTTTCCAATGGTGAAAACGTGCAGCTGATTGACTCTGGACACGCCCATCCTCCACTGGACTCTCCGCCTAGTGGCCCCGCCTTCTCCTCAAGGGTGCCCCGCCCTCTTCTCTACCCCTGCTGTGATTGTTTCTTCAAGCTGCACCTCGCAGACACTGCTCAACACTGGACTACTCTCTGTTCTCAATTGTTTCCGCAACTTGAGATGACTCATGAACGTATTCAACAACAAGTGGTTTACCTCAACAGAGAATCAGTGGGCGTGGTGGGTAAATGACATTTCAGCAGTTTGACAAGTTGACAGGTAAACCTGCAACAATGAGATATGATTTGACATAATATTGTTATGTAGAAACATTAACTATATCATATTCATAAAAGGTATATTTTCCTGCTTGTGTGTTTCAGCAAATGGTATTATTTCAGTCCAGATATTTCTTAGTTCCAAATAATTTGATAATTATTTTATGAAATTATCGGTGAACAGAATTCTATGAAATGATTGTTTGGGAAATTCCATCAAGACAGAATATGAACTGTTTGATAGGTATAACTTTGAAGTTGACGGATGACAAAGTAGAGATAACATATGGATAACTTCTTTATTAACTGTAAAGGCGATGTTTGCAATGACAACGGTATAAGAACAATACCGAAACATTGCCTTTACAGTAAATAAAGGCATTAATTAACTCTACTTTGTCAAGACAGAATGTATCTAAATTATTCCCCTAAGAACTTTATTCAGTGAACGAAATATTGTTGGGAAATGTTTCTGAAGAACATTGTATTAGCAGTCCAAATGTCAAGATATCAGGACATGCATGTCACAGTGTTGTAGTAGTAGAGTATTGGAATCCATTGGACGAGGTAGAATACAGGTACTAATGGCTCACTGAAAAAGTCAAATTGTAAGGTTCTATGGAAGTTTGAAATCCTGAGACAACACAGCTGACAACTAGCCTTTGAATAGCCTAGTAGTTTAATTAGGATTTGACTTCAAGAGAAAACTGCTTTAGGTGGCATCCTGTTGGTGACAATTGCCATGATCTTACCTCCTCCTCTGACTTCCTATCTATTGCACAACACGTGTCCGTCTTGGGCATCTCTGTGTTTCATTGACCCTACTGTCCTGTCCACTAGTTACGACTGGAGTGTTGCTAGCTGTGGTATTAACCAGAGCAGTGTTCTTAACCAACATCCACAAGATGGCCCTTTTGATTTTTCAAGGTCAAACATGGTTGATTGTTTGTGGCTCCTGACATTGGTGGGTATCGACGTGATATAATTAACCCAAACCATGATGAGAGAAGATTGGGAAGAGTGGCGCCATATTGAAACAAATAGGCCGAACAAACCCTGGAGATAGTTGCCTTTGTTCCAACCGGAACCTTTTCTGGTTAGAACCAAGGTTTGATACAGTTCTCTGTTGGTAACCGAAGACATTTGGGTTGTACAGCCGATGAAACGCTCATGTTAAGTCAGCTGTTGATGGCTCACAGACATATCATGATGTTGCATTCAGCATTGTCTATTTCCTGTTTCTGTGATAATTCCCCATGTCCTACTTACGCTGTTAAACTGGTCTTTCATTTCTCCACTTGTTGATGACATCAGTTCCTAGGTATTAAAGATGTTTCTTGCATGTTACTTAACTGTTAATAGCCTTGCTACTGACTCGTTATGTTTGTAATTAAACTGTACAGCCAGTTGTTGTCAAACTTTGAAATTATTCCAATTTAATCCCAATTTCTAGTTAATGCAAAGAAATATGCATGTTGAAATATTTATATTTTAAGGTCATCTTTGCACATGAATATAAGAATCACCACGCAACATATATGGCCACAATGTGTGTTATGAGCATGTCAGGAAAAGAAAATAGCAACTGTTACGACTGAGCTTCTAAAACTGTTTTAAAACAAACCTATAATATTTGGATTAGAAACTCAGTTATGTTTTATGTTTTCATATTTGCTTTTGTTTGTACAATGATTAAATGCTTAAGTAGCATAAATTCATTAAAGGAGCACTAGGCTCTGGCTTCTGTGCTGACACTGCCCCCATGGGCTCATCAGCTGCTTGGAGCTGATTGGCTGGCTGAGGCAACTGAGAGGACGTGACACTGCCCCCATGAGCTCATCAGCTGCTTGGAGCTGTTTGGCTGGCTGAGGCATCTGAGAGGACGTGACACTGCCCCCATGGGCTCATCAGCTGCTTGGAGCTGATTGGCTGGCTGAAGCAACTGAGAGGACGTGACACTGCCCCCATGGGCTCATCAGCTGCTTGGAGTTGATTGGCTGGCTGAAGTAACTGAGAGGACGTGACACTGCCCCCATGGGCTCATCAGCTGCTTGGAGCTGTTTGGCTGGCTGAGGCAACTGAGAGGATGTGACACTGCCCCCATGGGCTCATCAGCTGCTTGGAGCTGATTGGCTGGCTGAGGCAACTGAGAGGACGTGACACTGCCCCCGTGGGCTCATCAGCTGCTTGGAGCTGATTGGCTGGCTGAAGCAACTGAGAGGATGTGACACTGCCCCCATGGGCTCATCAGCTGAGTTGATTGGCTGGCTGAAGCAACTGAGAGGACGTGACACTGCCCCCATGGGCTCATCAGCTGCTTGGAGCTGATTGGCTGGCTGAAGCAACTGAGAGGACGTGACACTGCCCCCATGAGCTCATCAGCTGCTTGGAGCTGATTGGCTGGCTGAAGCAACTGAGAAGACGTGACACTGCCCCCATGGGCTCATCAGCTGCTTGGAGCTGATTGGCTGGCTGAAGCAACTGAGAGGACGTGACACTGCCCCCATGAGCTCATCAGCTGCTTGGAGCTGATTGGCTGGCTGAGGCAACTGAGAGGACGTGACACTGTAGGAGGAGTGGACATGCTGTGTCATGTTTAGGACAGTCAGCCTGCCCACTGCTCAACATGAAACACCTTGAAAAAGCCAGCCAATTCTGAAGGCTTGAGCCTAGTGACCCTTTCAATTCTAAAACTACCATAGATGCAATGTTCATGAATTTGTAATTTTTGATTGGCTCTAATCATGACACACATGACCTTGAATCATTTCATGACAGAAATAGTTTCCTAAATAATATTGTTATCACTGACCTGAGCAACATGAACAATGGTTTATGCAGCATATTGTGTTGGTAGAGATTATGCGTGCCTGTTACTCAGTGTCCACACCAGAGCTTCGTATGACAGTAAGAAGGGGTTCACGCAGGTGGATCACCTGCTTTAACACTGAGTGTCCACACCAGAGCTTCGTATGACAGTAAGAAGGGGTTCACTCGGGTGGATCACCTGCTTTAACACTGAGTGTCCACACCAGAGCTTCGTATGACAGTAAGAAGGGGTTCACTCGGGTGGATCACCTGCTTTAACACTGAGTGCTCAGCTTCACAAATTGCCAGTGTTGTTGTAGGGAGGAGAGAATTTCATGTTTTCCTAAATCTAGTTTTTTATATTTGGAGACTTTGTTTCTCATCGTCATCAATTGAACGTTGAATGTGGATGTTTATCAAGTCCCCTTGTTGTGTGTAGTGATGGATGGAGAATGTTGAATGTTTACTTTGATTTACTTGAACAAATCTTTGACATGAAGCGGATCTACATGATTGTTAGTATGAAGGCTCTTATCCAAGGCATATGTTAAAATTCTCTTACAGTCTTGTGTGTGCACTGATCATGTAGATTAGGTTTTTCGTCCTATTTTTCGTCCTATTTTTCGTCTGTCTAAATAGTTTTTTGGATGACAAAATTAGAATTAAAACAAATGTGAAAAGCTGTGTTCCCTACAACGGAAGCTTCCTTTAACCTTTAACCTTTAACCTTTAACCTGATTTTTGTTTAAACATTTAAGCTAAGGCCCTTTTTGTGGTCAATAATACATTTGACCTTTTGTCAGCAACTTTTTGCTGTTTAAGACATCAAAATCACTTGGATCAAAGACTTGCTCCTGATCAAATATTAGAAAATTCTTCTTGAAAACCATGTAGACATCTTGTACAGCATTTTGCATCTGAAGATATTGTCCCAGAGACTCTGTAACACAAGACAGAGAGTGTTACACTTTGCTGGTCAGTAAGATCCTGTTGTCTCAAGCACAAGCTATTTCTCTCCCTCCAGCTCTAGGGTCTTGTGTCCATCATTTCTTATAGAGATATTACTTTAAAGAGATGAAGAATGCTATGTCAGACTTGTTGTAGGGGGTCTAGTCTCTCCTGTTGTGCAGGTATGCTTGTTTCTTCAATGAGCTATTAAAGGGGTACTCCGCTCCAGGGTTTGTGTCCATTCCAGTGTAGATGTTGTAATGCTGGAGTTTCTGCTCTTAGTGGTGATCATGTGACAAGGATACGCCATAGGATGCACTGGGTCACAGTTTGAAATAGACATCGGCTGGCCCGTAGGTCCGAGACCGACAGATTTGTTCTCAGGCTGATAGTTTTAAATTTCAGCAAGCCCTTATGGCCTACAGTTTGTTCAGGTAATTATTTATTAAGCATTATTTAAGAAATGTGATAAACATAACTTTCATGTTTATAAGTGGTAGGATTAGACCTTTCGAATGGTGTTTGACATGTAGTCGCAAAGATGTTTTACAAGCTAATGATTTCCTGATAAATGTAGGCTTCATCTATCACAACTGCGTCTGTGGGAACTCGGTGTGATAGCTGTCAAGGCTTCTGGTTGACTGATTGTGTTTTGTAATTTAAATTGCAAGTGTATGTCTCCCTGCTTCAGCTAAAATGTTTGGGCCTACAGTTTTTCCACAGGGCCTACAGTTTTTCAAATGGGCCTACAGTTTTTCAACTGGGCCTACAGTTTTTCCACAGGGCCTACAGTTTTTCCACTGGGCCTACAGTTTTTGAAATGTGCTGGCCCTTAAGGCTCTCAGTTTACTCTGCTAGTTTCAGATCCAGTGATCTAGATATGTAACGTATCCACAGGTCCTTACATCATGGTGACTTCTCCTGAGTATACAGAGTGTCCATCCCTCGATAACCAGCTGGTTGCTGACATCAATCTTTAGACGTATAGCATGTCCCTTGTCACATGATTGGCCTAAGTTAGAATTGCGAGAGATCTCGTTGACTGGACTAGGACTAGGAGTGTCCTGTGTCACATGATTGGCCTAAGTTAGAATGGCGAGAGATCTCGATGACTGGACTAGGACTAGGAGTGTCCTTTGTCACATGATTGGCCTAAGTTAGAATGGCAAGAGATCTCGATGACTGGACTAGGACTAGGAGTGTCCTGTGTCACATGATTGGCCTAAGTTAGAATGGCGAGAGATCTCGTTGACTGGACTAGGACTAGGAGTGTCCTGTGTCACATGATTGGCCTAAGTTAGAATGGCGAGAGATCTCGTTGACTGGACTAGGACTAGGAGTGTCCTTTGTCACATGATTGGCCTAAGTTAGAATGGCGAGAGATCTCGATGACTGGACTAGGACTAGGAGTGTCCTGTGTCACATGATTGGCCTAAGTTAGAATTGTGAGAGATCTCGTTGACTGGACTAGGACTAGGACTAGGAGTGTCCTGTGTCACATGATTGGCCTAAGTTAGAATGGCGAGAGATCTCGTTGACTGGACTAGGACTAGGAGTGTCCTGTGTCACATGATTGGCCTAAGTTAGAATGGCGAGAGATCTCGTTGACCGGACTAGGAGTGTCCTGTGTCACATGATTGGCCTAAGTTAGAATGGCAAGAGATCTCGTTGACCGGACTAGGACTAGGAGTGTCCTGTGTCACATGATTGGCCTAAGTTAGAATGGCGAGAGATCTCGTTGACCTGACTAGGACTAGGAGTGTCCTGTGTCACATGATTGGCCTAAGTTAGAATTGCGAGAGATCTCGTTGACCGGTCTAGGACTAGGAGTGTCCTGTGTCACATGATTGGCCTAAGTTAGAATTGCGAGAGATCTCGTTGACTGGACTAGGACTAGGAGTGTCCTGTGTCACATGATTGGCCTAAGTTAGAATTGCGAGAGATCTCGTTGACTGGACTAGGACTAGGAGTGTCCTTTGTCACATGATTGGCCTAAGTTAGAATTGTGAGAGATCTCGTTGACTGGACTAGGACTAGGACTAGGAGTGTCCTGTGTCACATGATTGGCCTAAGTTAGAATGGCGAGAGATCTCGTTGACCGGACTAGGACGAGGAGTGTCCTGTGTCACATGATTGGCCTAAGTTAGAATGGCGAGAGATCTCGTTGACTGGACTAGGACTAGGAGTGTCCTTTGTCACATGATTGGCCTAAGTTAGAATGGCAAGAGATCTCGTTGACTGGACTAGGACTAGGAGTGTCCTTTGTCACATGATTGGCCTAAGTTAGAATGGCGAGAGATCTCGTTGACTGGACTAGGACTAGGAGTGTCCTTTGTCACATGATTGGCCTAAGTTAGAATGGCGAGAGATCTCGTTGACCGGACTAGGACTAGGAGTGTCCTGTGTCACATGATTGGCCTAAGTTAGAATGGCGAGAGATCTCGTTGACTGGACTAGGACTAGGACTAGGAGTGTCCTGTGTCACATGATTGGCCTAAGTTAGAATGGCGAGAGATCTCGTTGACTGGACTAGGACTAGGAGTGTCCTGTGTCACATGATTGGCCTAAGTTAGAATGGCGAGAGATCTCGTTGACTGGACTAGGACTAGGAGTGTCCTGTGTCACATGATTGGCCTAAGTTAGAATGGCGAGAGATCTCGTTGACTGGACTAGGACGAGGAGTGTCCTTTGTCACATGATTGGCCTAAGTTAGAATTGCGAAAGATCTCGTTGACTGGACTAGGACTAGGAGTGTCCTGTGTCACATGATTGGCCTAAGTTAGAATGGAGAGAGATCTCGTTGACTGGACTAGGACTAGGACTAGGAGTGTCCTTTGTCACATGATTGGCCTAAGTTAGAATGGCAAGAGATATACATAATAAAATTTGACTTGACGGATAACTGAAACAGAATCAAACTTGCTGGGACTGCCATTTGCTTCAGCAAAGTACCCCTTTAAAGAGCAAATGTTGATTTTCAATGCAAGGTTAGGACACTTAGTCATTTGTCTTGCAGGTTATTGTGTCTTTCTAACACTGAAGCTCTTTGCTGCACAGATAAGGTTCCCATTGAAGTATTTGCTTGTTAAACTGTTATTATTTGAAAACGTAAGTCATAATGGTTGAAGGTACATAGTGTCAGGAGAAGGAACAGAATCTGCCCCTCACCAACGGTGTTTACTAGTTTGTCATTTAGCTATGTTCCTGTATGAGTGCATCCTCTGCTTCCACTATCATCTCAACACACTTTCACAGGCGCCATCTACTTCCTGTAGTAGCCTCATTCTGGACAACAACCACAGAACAGGAAGTGATGCCCTGCCCTCCTCGCTGAGCCTTAGCAGGGTGTTGGTACGATTCATCCTACGTACTTAGTTCTTCCCAGGGTCTTGAGATTGAAGCATGCATGTCAGTTGACATTGTTTATTCGTATCATTTGGGTTTTTTGTTTTTGTTTTCAACATTGTGCACCCCTATTGATGCCTTTGTGAAATGTTTTATTTATTGATGCCACTATTGTTACTGTGATATGTATTTATGTTATCTAGTTGTGCTTTAGTTTTCAGTTAACAGAACTAGAATCTATTGGTTTCATGGTGCAGACCAAAACCTGAACACCGTAGCATTGTCAGAACTGTTACATCAGTATGTTAAGCAGCATTAGCACGACATTCAACAATATATCTCGCATAGGATTTCTATAAACTTGGAATCTTTGACCAAATATGCTTTAATTCATAATTTGTAGTTATTATCTGCATAACTCTGTATGATTATTTGAGACTAATATGGATGGTTTTGGTAAGCACGTACCAGGGGTATTTGAATTCTAATTTTAAAAACCCGACTTTTAAAACCCCGCTAGCACGTCCACTGAAACAACTAGGGCTGACCACCACACATTTTTAAGATTGTAAAAAAGATCTGTAGTATGCACAAGAAAACACAGATACACATACATTTTCAAGCAAAGTACTGGTCACTTATGAAGCTTACTCACAGATTTGTTTCTGAAAGTTTTCAGGGGTGCTTAATATGGCAGAATGGAAGAAAATGATCAACATTTAAGCAAAATGTTTCTAAACATTTACGGAAGAGAATTGACATTGGGTAATAATGATGTTTTGGAAAGAGTGGTTGAAGCGTTCGCTCGTTACGCAAAGACCTTGGTTCGATTCCCCACGTGGGTACAATGTGTGAAGCCCATTTCTGGTGTCCCACGCCATGATATTGCTGGAATATTGCTGGAATATTGCTAAAAGCAGTGTAAGACCCAACTCACTCACTCATTCACTCACTCCACACACGGCCCAAGAGCGATCAGTTCGCCCTTTGTTGATAAGCCTGAAAATAGAAAAGCCTGATGCAGGGGTTGAAAATGACGACAGGAAACAGAAACATAATATATTTTGGGGCCTCATCGGGAATGACTGGAAAAAAAATGTTCTAAAAATCTTTGGTTGGCGTTTCAGAAATTTAAAATTTAGAAAAATAGAAAAATGAGCATGATGTAGTAGATTCTGTTCCATATCACATATCTAGTGTTAAACAGGGCTTGACTATAGGCTTGAACTGTATTATAATACACTGAATAGTTTTTATACCAAACTGAAGACATATACTAAGTAATTATGAATTTTACCCATAGAGGAAACTTGAAGGCAAGCCATGTTGCCGCATAATATAAATAATGGCTTCTCATGTAACCCTTTCAATATGACACTAACTTCAGTTGGCAATGTAGAATCCATGAAATACATAAATAAATGTACAGGTTACCATAAAATATTATATTGTGATAATATAACCCTAGAAAATAGGCGAACATGTGCATATTGATGATATAATACAGGTATTGCCAGCATATGTTAATAATAATAATAACCCTCGGACTAAACAGGCCACCTTAACTGAATGAATAGTTCTATGTTAAGCCACTGTTCCCTTCACCAATCCATCTTATATTTGAATTGTCCAGTGCTCTGATAGAACCGATTGTGCTGCTGTGCGGCCACAAACCTGTGATGATGGGTTCGTCAGCACCAGAGTGATAAAGGTCAAAGACCTGCGTTACCTTGACCTTTCTTCCCACATCAAGCTGACATGCTGTGATATAACTGGAATACTGTCCAAACAGCATTAGATCCAACTCGCTGTGAAAAAAGGTAGTCATTGACAAATAAAAAGGGTCCTGTCTTGATTTTCATTGGATTAAGTGTGTGGGAGGATTGTAATATTTATTGTTTTTGAATGAAAGAATTGCCTTCCTAATGACTTTTAAGGAGGAATTCTTTGTCTGTCTACTGAATTCAGGACAGTTTACTAGTAAGACGGGAAATCCAGTCCAATCTGCCAGAAGTCCAAGCCATCCATCATCTCCACTGCCCTTAGTGCTTGTGTGATGTCTGCATACTTTAGTGTTGACTGGTAGCTGCAAGAAATTGTATATGGTTGTATTTGACTTTTTATATTGTTTGCCTGTAATTGTTGTTTACTTATCCACTTATCCTATAAATAGGGCTTCAGAGGCGCAGTCAGGATGGTAAACAAGATTACCCACTATTCCATGAAATGTGATTACGTGACTCATTCGTAGCCATGCTCTGATGGCATTGATCTGCAATGTAAGCTTGTGCCTGTCAAGATGTTGACGTGTGATTGGTAGAGATACATTGGGTTAATATAGCTTCTCTGTATCTGAATCATTATTCAAATATTCAAATAACAACCGATAGAATATAATTGTCTGCGGTCCATTTGTTTTTTCAGGTTAATGATTTTTAGCATTTGATTATGCATGGTGCTACCCAATTTTGTTTTTTAAATTTTTTGTTTAAGTTATCTACTGGTAGGTAAATGAGTGATATTTCAATGTCTCACGTTCAGTTTTAAAAGAAATCATTACAAATTACAAGCAAGTCAATGAAATGAAATATTGACCTTTCTTTCATTTTAATTTTTGAAAATAAGTTTGCATTTTCAAGTTTTGTATATGGAGACGGGGGGAGGTTGTGTGTTGCACAGACATGGTAGATTCTTGTAATAGATGCTCCCTGATGTGGAACTGCCTGGGATTGCAAGCATGACTGCCTTGCTAGTGCTTGTCATTGTACATATATTTGTCAGTTCTTCAATTCTATTTTTATTGTGCAATATAGCCACATTGTTTGTCTTTGAAACAAATCTTGCACAATCCATTCAAGATGAAACTACCATTAATGTCGTGTTACACTGAACATGTTTCACGGTTGATGCACATCTGGTAAGTCAACCGAAGACAAGGATCATTCGTAATGATGTCAGGTCCGTGTGAGTTGTAAGATCACTTTCATGTCAGGGGTCAATGCAATGTCAAGGTCATTGTCAAATGTCGGTTTGATGTCATTGTCACTGCAATGATCTCCGAGGTCATGTTTTATCAGGTATTTGTTCGAGGTCATTTTGACGCCGTCAGTGGTCACTTCCTATTCTTGTAACCCTTGTGATACATCCTTCATATTTTTTCCCAAATGTTGCCATGGCAACACAGCACCAGCCATATTGAACCTGATTTATGCACATCCTTCTGCCTGGTATAATTCAATCACCATTGCTATTCAGGAGTGTTTTGCATAGTTTTTGATAGTAGTTTTACATGTTGTGAAATGTCCTTTAGATATATTACAAAATTGAAGTTTTACGAACAATTTTTAAGCTCCTTTCATCTTTATCAAAGCTCCATGCCACAGTCATTTGAGCGGCTTCATTCATCATGGTCTAATAAGTTATTAATTATTTTTTCAATACATTTTTTCTAACATTAAGACAATTTGTTGAATTAACTCGAGGCAAGTGAAATCATATTTAAATTTACTTCCACCACTTTTCATTCACAACACCATGTAAGACTCCCTGTGTTAATGATACATCTGCATTCTCTTTCAATGTACGTTTGTTACAGTATCATGTATCATGTATAAGCTGTTGTTTACTTTTGAAATTATTTCCGATTTATGATATCTTTTTATTTGTAATAAACTGTTTGCAGTTAAAATTGTACATGTTGTTTTTGGTATGTTTGTATGATGGTGGCGAAGTGGATGATGGTGGCGATGTGGTCGATAGTGGCGATGTTGTTGATGGTGGCGAAGTGGTCGATGGTGGTGATGTGTTCGATGGCAATGTGGTTGATGATGGCGATATGGTGGATGGTGGTGTGATGTGGTGGATGGTGTGGATGTGGTTGATGGTGGCAATGTTGTCCATGGTGGTGATGTGGTTGATGGTGGTGATACTCATGGATCGTAATGGGATGT